CATTTCAATAATAATACACACATGGAGTTGTCCCACCCTAGGTCACTATTTATGTAATTAAATTCTTACAAAAAATCATTTAAGTAAAAATAAGGAAATTAAGAATTAAAAAAAAGAATAAACATTGATTTGAAAATTAAAATAAAATGTTTTAGGTACGTCTCATAAATGTCCTAACCCAACTCATCTACATCCATCCTTCACAACTTATTGCTGTGTAGATGTGATTCTTTTAATATTTAAATTAGTAAACAAAATAGATTTTGTATAAACAACTGTCCTATTATTGCTGTCTATTGAGCATCTTCTCAAATAAAATCATATTCTTGGTGCTTCAAAAGCTACCAATATCCATGGAGCCAATTGTGACGAAATGGAGACCCGTCTCCATTATTTTGCTGCTTCTTCTCATGCTTTCCATGCCTTGTTTTTCAGCAGGTTTGTAGGGAAAGTTTCAAGTTTCACTTTTATAATAGTTCCATTCTCTTTCTGTTTTAAAATTTTCAATTAGTTTATTCATTTGTCATATTAAAGGAGGGTTTGGGGTTTCAGATAATGAGGTTTATGAGATCGATTATAGAGGTCCGGAGACACACTCTGCAACTCCTCCACCGGATAATTCTCATCACCACCGGCATTGGATTCATCGGAAACCCGATACCTTGTTAGCCCACAAATCCTCCAAGGGCTTAAAGAGTGGTATTGGTAACAGGGGAAGAAATGTGAGTTTGTATTATGATTATCTCAACAAATTTCATCTTCAATCGTGGCTTTGCTTACCCTATTTTAGATTCTTAAAACATAAACATTTTTCTTCTTTCGCAGGCTAAGAAAATTCATGGGTGATTATTTGGAAAAAGAATAAGAAGGGTTTTAGGAAGCTTCTTTGAATGTAAAACTTTTATACCAATTTGTAGCTATGTGGTTGGGTGCTTTCTCTTCTAGATGTGTGTGAGAGTTGAGAAATATTTGTTAATTTAAGGTTTTAGATACATATAAAGTTTGAGTAGTTAAATGTAATTGTTCATAATTGTTGTTCCTATATTCATATTCTTATTATGGTCTAAAACCAAAGGTTCAGGTATATACTTCATTTCATTTATCCCATTACCAACATTTGAAAATCTGTCGGCAAATATATTCTTAGTGATCACGAAAAATATATTCACGAATATTAATCCAACATATCAACTCAGACAGAACTTGTGTGTAGTTTCTATTCTTTGTTAGCAAATAAATAAACAAGGCGGAGCCAATCCCTTTGCATGGATCATATCAACCAAGGCTAACGAATTTGATTCATTATTTAAAATTCTTATGGCTTCCAGACAATCACTCTCAACTGTTAGTTGTGTGCTCCATGCAAGTTCTATAATATCCAGGATAGCCCAAAGTTCAGCGTACATGTAAGACTGAACAAATGTCAAGGCAAACCATAGAGCCATCAACCATGATCATCCCGCATCGCAGCATTCACGTATATTTTCAAAGTATCTATAGAGAAAATAATAACTTTTACATTCATGCATTTTAAATTTGTGTAAAACTTTTTTTTAATTTTATATTATTTAATTAGATACCAACTCTAATAAAATAATTAATAAGTTTGCAAGTGTACGTAAAATGATACAAACACTACTATGCAAACTCATTTCTTTAATAAATGAATATGATTTTTTGGTCCATATTTGTTTATCTCACTTAATAAAGAAACAATAGATAAATTATTTACAAATAACTCGTTACATACTTTATTCTTTTAGGTATATTTGGATATAAGAACAAAGAACGGTAAAAAAATATAAGATTAAAGAGAAAATTCTCAAGGGGCTTCAGATAAAAATCCAAACCCAACTCACGTTGGAGAGAATGGAGAGCTGGACAGCTTTCGTTGATAATTTGAGCAGACGCGTTTCAGGCAGGGCGTTAAGAGAGGTTTTCAACCATTACGACAATGCCACTCAAGTCTACATCCCCAGAAACAATAAGAAATCCAGGTATAAAATTCAACTTTTGCATTTGTTCGTTTCGCATCACAAAGGGATTTGGAGCATAGTATTAACAAGAAGAACAAGGCCTGTATTGACGGGGGGTGGTCGAGGTTTCAAAAGCAAGATTTACAAGGCTGTCAGAAAGAGGTGAACAGTTGAAGTCGAGGAGGCAGGCGGGGAAAAAGATAAGTGCCAATCGAAACAACATAAGCAGATTAACGAAGACATATGAAAAGAAAATGGACCACAAATCAAATAAAGAGGCTCTATTGGAAGGCCACAAGTCAATAGAGGAAGAGGGAAATATTGGTGAAAAAAGTGAAGAGTCTGACTTCAACCTGAAGAAGAAGGTCAACCTGTTGGAGTTCAAGGTCAAGGAGAAGGAAGTGGATTGGATAGAGCGGTCTTTGGCAGGGATGATCAAAGAGAGATTCAATTGGATTTTGCTCAGAAAGGATTAGAGAGTGATGGGATAAAAATCAAACTTGCAAAGTGGGGAAATACTTATTCATCCTTCACTGTCATCTTCAGTTCATCTGAAGATATGAACGAAACTTGGGAAAGAAAAAAGGAATCTTTAGCATTTTGGTTTAGTTATATCGCTCCCCTCAAGATCGAGAATGGTCTGCCTCTAGCCTTTTATTCTTGCGCTCTCAAAAAGGTGCCACTGCAGTTGTGGTAAGAAGATTTTTTTTTCTCCGTGCCGGGAAGCAAATGGGGTGTTTTTGTAGATATAGAGGACTCAACGAGAAAAAAGGACTTTGCAACAGCCAGAATGATTATAAGGGCAGCGAGCCCTTTTGATATTCCGAGCTCCATTTTTGTTAGGTCCTGGGGGAGATCATTCCTTATCAGCGTAGAGATCAAGGATACTGTAAATGAGAATATTGTTCGTGTTTTTGAGTGGGATTTAGATTGGTTCACAGACGAGTGGAGTTTAGTTGATAGTTTCGAGGAAGACAATCCAGAACCGCTAGGAAAACTGACTTCTCGAGTACCCACGGTGGAAGAAATTTTGTCGGCATGTAAATCAGGCCACCTTGACAACACCGCCTTGGATCCTGTAATAGGCTTTTCTCCCGAGAAGGGGGCTACAACTTCTATGAAATCATAATTACAGACGTGCATGGTAATGGCAACTTGGTAGGATTTGTTGGCAACACGTCAGAAAGATTTATTGTTCTAGACCTTTCCCGACTTTATCTGCCTGAGCTCAAGATGTGGGTCGTTTGCCTCTTAATCGTTGTTCTAGTGGACTAAAGGAAAGTAGTTCAAAGGATAGTGGGTCGCATTCTTCTAAGAATCTATCCAAGGAAGTTGACAATGTTCTAAATTTCCAAACTTGTGAGACTCTGGGCCGGTCGATTCCCGCCTGTCGAAATCAGTGGACATTGTTGATTAGCGTTTTAAATAGTTAATATTTTATAGTCAATTTTTCGTTGTTCATTACATTTTGTTGCTTATTTGAGTGTTTATACTTGTTTTTTATATAGGACCTTGAATTCTGGATATTGCACTTGAAAGACGAAGTTTTGCAGTTTGTTTTCCAGAATCATGAGCAGCCTAGTAGGCATGAAACCGCTAACGTGGAATCCAGTTAGCATATTCTAGAAGATACAATCAACATTTTTGTGGAAGCAGAAGACTCAACTGTAATTTCGAATTTAAATTTTCAGGATTTATCTTTATTTTTAGGATTTAATTTCAAGAATTATCTTTTGTAATTTCTTTCTACAATTTTAGGGTTTTAGAATAATATAAATACCTATTGGGGTGAACTGAAATTAATATCTCTCATCTTCTGAATTCTTTTGTTTATTCTTTAGTTTTATAAAGTTACTTAACTTTTACTTTTACTTTATCTTTCTTTGCAAATTTTCTTTTTAAAATGCTAAGCATGGTTTGTACCATGCTTAGCTAAGTTTTTCATAAGTTAAACGTTGAAGCGATGACTCAATTTTTAACGTGAGAATTGAAAAGCACCTCATCCTTTCGAGTTACATTTCTCAATTTTTTGGAAACTATATTGACAGATTATCTTTCATAAAATCAAAACGATTTCATTTCAAAAATAGATTTTGGCTTTGATGCTATTATGGTTTATCGTTGGGATTATAAAATCAATTGATTCGAATTCCCTATAAGAAACTTAGTGATAGCACGCTAAGGGGAAATTATGATCGAATTTGACTTTCATAGAGAAAGCATAATTCTAATCGGGCTTTTTCAAGCGCTTTTAAATTATCATGAGTTAACAACAAGGATTGAGATTTCTAAATAGATTTGGGAAAATCAATCACCAAGGTGAAAAGTGAGCTACAAGGATTGGACATTGCGGACTCAAACCGACATTTAACCGGAGTAAAATCCTATTCAAAGATCGATTAGAAATTGAGACAAAACGGAAGCCTGAGACTGCTTTTAATCTTTTATACGTTTTATAAACATATTATTCAGAGTTAAATCTTTTAAACAACTCAATAGATTCAATTAATTTTTAATAATTTAATATTTTACGCATAAACATCTTATAGATAAAATTGTTTAAATTAAAAATCTATAAAAAATAATATTTTTATAATTTATAATAAACAATAGATTGTAGAGTATAAATATAAAACAGAGTTTATAAATATAAATTATTTTTAATCCCCGAATCATAAACGGTGACGAAGAGTCGCATTTCATACTATCCTTTTCCCAAGTTTTGTCCACTTTCCGTCCTTTTCCTATATATATTTATATTTTAGAATTCTAACATGAATTCTGCTACCCTACATAAAGAATAATTTATTAAAAAATATAAATAAAATTAATTATTTTATTCTAGAAAAAAATATTTTACACAAAGCGTATAAGAGATTAGTTGAAGTAATATATATTTCCTAGATAATATTAAAAAGAAATAAAAACTAATATATTTTTTTAGAAAAATGAAAAACAGAGAAACAATTTGAAACGAACTCAAAGAAAATAAATAGATATATCTTCAGTCTTCCCATTGTCTCTCCCCTTTCGTTATCAATTTGCACTTTTACAACTTCAAGGCCTGACAGAACACTCTCTTCAATCCTCCACTTCATCTCCGCCGTCCATTCCGTTGACTTTCTCTTACTCCTAAATAGTCAAACCTTCTTAACCACCCCAAATAAAATAAAGTTCCGATTGAAGAACAAGGGCGTTGGACTTTTCTCTTTATTTTTGGGACTTCAGGAAATAAGAAAATTTCAATATTGAGGAGGAGGAGGAGCCCTAGAGTGTAATGATCAGATGTTATCAGGTGTGTGGTAAGAGACGACATGATCAACACAGCCAACGGTATGATTTCGACCTCTTCTTCATCGGCGAATGCCCAATCACTGGGTTTGAAGACTTATTTTAAGACCCCAGAAGGTCGATATAAGCTTCACTATGAAAAGACTTACCCTTCTGGCCTTCTTCACTATTCTCATGGCAAAACGGTTACTCAGGTAACTTCAAATTTCTATTATATATTTGTTTGAAGTGTTCATTTTTGTAAATTGTTTTTACTATTCTTGGGTTTGAATGAGGCCCCATCTTTATTTGTATCACTTTAAATTAGTCTATTTGTTTTTAGTATGAGATTTTTTTTAATGTTTTTGGAACTCAAGTTTTATAGTCAGTGTGCATTTCCCATTTATTAATAAAAATAGGGTTTTTAAGAAATCCCCGTTTGTTGGAAGCACCGAATGAACAGATTTTTATTTAGTTAGTTTGTATTGTCAATTTGAACATTGTGGTTGAAAGATTGAATTTTGAGTACTTTAAGTCAAATTTTAATCAAGCACGAACAGATAGTTTTTGTGATATATTCATGTTTCATTATTGGTGTTCTTCCATTGTATTTAATTAAGTTTGATTGGCAGGTTACCCTAGCACATTTAAAGGACAAGCCGGCTCCGCCAACTCCAACAGCTTCATCATCCAGCTTCATTTCCAGTAGTGGGGTAAGATCAGCAGCAGCAAGGTGGCTAGGTAGTGGGAATGGGAGCCGTGCACTTGGCTTTGTTGGAGGAAATGGTGGGAGTAAAAGTGTTAGCAGTACTAATAGGTTTGGGTCATTGGGTGGTTCGAGTCCGAGTAATTCAACAGCTAGTACAAATTTTGATGGGAAAGGAACTTATTTAATATTCAATGTCGGTGATGCTATTTTTATAAGTGATTTGAATTCTCAGGATAAGGTAATTTAGCATTTTGTTGTTAATGTTTTTGATGAATGGGAAGGATTGGTCATAGAGGTATTTTAAGAATCATGGTGTTTAATGTAGGACCCAATAAAATCTATCCATTTCAGTAATTCGAACCCTGTCTGCCATGCATTTGATCAGGATGCCAAGAATGGGCATGACTTGCTTATAGGGTTGAATTCTGGTGATGGTAATCATTTTCTTGCTTGTTTAAATTTGCAATTTCATTTCCAATGTTTGAACCCTGCAAACTTATGTATTCTATTTGTATTATTGTAGTTTACTCAGTATCATTAAGACGGCAGTTACAGGATGTTGGAAAGAAGCTTGTTGGGGCACAACATTACAATAAAGATGGTTCTGTAAATAGCAGGCAAGATTTAGATTACTGCATCCTTTATGTTCTTTCTCTGTAGATTTATGTGTTCTAGTTCTTGGATGGTGTGAAGATTGATCGTAAACCTAATTGCTTGGAGCAAGATAATTTTCTATGACATCTTATGGATCTACGGTTTACTTTCCTTTCAAATAGTGCATATTAACTTAATCATTATGAAAATGTCTTTTTCTTTGTTTTATATTGTTGTTTTTCTGGGCCGTTTCCATAGATATAATTTTTTAGCCACCCTGGGACCTTGCAGCTGAGTGCTTCATTTGTTTTCCCTAACCTTTCAATATTTAAACTGTACTTGTACGGTATCAATACTAGCAATATAATATTGGCAATTGACTTGGTCTTTCACTGAGTTGATTGTTAACTCTGGTGGCAATATTGAACTTGTGTGCCTTCCTAGAATTTGCTTCCCTCTTGGGCGCCCTCATAAGGATAAATAAAGGAGCAATGACTTTTGTGACTAATAATTGTTTATCTTGAATTGAAGATCCTAATTGAGTCAGCTCTGTCTCCTATCTGATTAATGCTTGTTGTTTCCAGCAGTCGCTGTACTAGTATTGCATGGATTCCTGGAGGCGATGGTGCTTTTTTGGTTGCTCATGCTGATGGAAATATGCATGTTTATGAAAAGGCAAGTTTCAAATAACTAAAGAAGGTTGTTTTGACATCTGGGGGTTCAACTTTCAAATTTCATGATGTTCTATGCCTTACGTTATTTTTTAAGATATTATTATTTTCTCATATTTTGTCCTCTAGAACAAGGATGGTGCTGGTGATTCTTCGTTCTCTGTTATCAAAGATCAAACTCAATTTTCTGTTGCACATGCACGACATAGTAAGGTACTGGTCACTGGTCAGTGTTTATTATGGAAAACTATTTGAGAATTTCTTAGTTTTGCTTGCCTCCTGAAAATTTGTAGTCTTTACTTAAAGCCATTATCTAAATCCAGAGGAACGTAATGTTTCTATCATGTGCATATTTGTGGTAGGTGGTACATATCTTATAACTTACTATTCACTATATATTTCTAGGTTTGAGCAATAACATTCCGTTTAAATTATGATGCATTTGTTTATATGCATCTTTTTATTACATTACAGCTAATGCCATGATATTTCCGATATATGGGATGATAGAACTGGCCTTTGCACCTTAATTGGTATTAATCTGACTGTTGTTTGACATGGTTGAGGAAACCATATGGGTTTTCCTCCCATCTTTTCATGTATTGTTTTTTATTGTTCACCATCCATTATTTACTTGCAGAGTAACCCGATTGCAAGATGGCATGTATGTAAAGGTTCAATTAATAGCATTGCTTTCTCCTCTGATGGGGCCTATTTAGCAACTGTTGGAAGAGATGGTATCAACTCAATTTGGCACGATTTTCCTTTTATTTTCTGTTTCCTTTTTTAGTTCTCGAACTTTTAAGTTTTATATTCTTCACACTTTGACTGCAGGTTATCTGCGAGTTTTTGACTATTCAAAAGAACAGCTAGTATGTGGCGGCAAAAGCTATTATGGCGCTCTATTGTGTTGTGCTTGGAGGTGCCCTATTCTTTTTTTTTTGTTCCAAAGAAAGTTCTTTAAACTTGTGCATTGCTGTTCATCTAGAGGACACTTTGCATTCTTTTTGTATATTATCTAAGCTACCACCTTTGGAGAAAATAGAATTTCTTATTGAAAACTCCATTGAACAGTATGGATGGAAAATATATTCTGACTGGAGGTGAAGATGACCTGGTTCAAGTTTGGAGTATGGAAGATCGAAAGGTTGTGGCATGGGGGGAGGGGCACAACTCATGGGTAAGATTATTATTTTATAATGAAGGCTTGTTTATTTGTTGTGGATGACAAATAGCTCTGTACTCATTTCTTTCTAATGGTACTGGCAGGTTAGTGGAGTGGCGTTTGATTCATATCGGTCATCACCTAATTCAGATGGCACAGGGGAGAGTGTGAGGTACCGGTTCGGTTCTGTTGGTCAGGTATGTAAATGATGGTAGCCTGGTAAAATAATAGCTGTCCTGATTATAGGGCCCTTGAAACTTAGGTCTGCATTGGTTACAGTACGTTGTAGGTTATACTCGGTTTAGGTCCTTGTTCAAATAGCATCTTGAACAGCTAATATGACAAATATCGTTTCAAGTTAGAATATTAATGTGGCAACCAGAAGAATATGATGGACAAAACATATTACTGATTGCAGGTTTTTAGCATTATTACATTAGAATTTGAAAAATTTGGCCCTAGAATAAACTTGATGAACCTTTTATATGGTTCTTTCTTTTAAATGGAACAATGGGCAAAGTTCATCTGCAGTGCATGGAATACCCTTAACGTCTCGTTACTGCTTCTTGTGTAGGATACGCAGTTGTTATTGTGGGATCTGGAAATGGATGAAATAGTTGTGCCATTGCGTCGATGCCCTCCTGGTGGATCTCCTATATACAGCACCGGGAGCCAATCTTCCCACTGGGACAATGTAGGCCTATCTGGTACCCTGCAACCTGCGCCAAGCATTCGAGATGTTCCGAAAGTTTCACCACTAGTTGCTCATCGTTTTTATACCGAACCCCTCTCAGGCATGATTTTTACCCCGGAATCTGTACTCACTGTTTATCGAGAGGGGCACATAAAAGTTTGGATGAGACCCGGTGTTGCAGAAAGCCAGCAAAGCAACAGTGAAACCGTGTTAAGTTCCATTTCCAAGGATAAACCACTACTTTCGAGCAAGATAAGCAGTTCTAGCTACAAACAATGACCAGAGATCCATTGGTATTTGCTAGTGTGGCCGCTCACTTCTCGGTATCAGTTGGTTTTCTTGAAGCAATGAGGGTAACCAACTGCATCCGTTGTATATTCAAGGACAACAATGCCATTGACAGAACCAAAGAGAGAAATGGAGGAAGAACTTCCTTCCACATCAAATACAAACGGCTATTTCTAGAATATACATATATAGGATACTGATAGGAATCACATAAGTTTGCTTCTTTAAGATTTGTAGTACATCTTAGAGGTGCACGTGATTTTTTTTATTATTATTATTGGTGATGCATCATCACCATTATAGTATAATTTCTGATGGATTATCAATTAAAAAAAAAGGAAAAATTGATGTTGGAACATGCACAGATAGCTTCATGAAATTGAACTTGGTCGAGTTTGTCCTGAAATCTGGGCAAGTTATTTGATGATTTGGTTGAAACACAAGGTTTTACTATTAAACATGAGCTTCAGTACGACTGGAAAGTCTCGCCATTCTTTTGCTCGTAGAATCCAATGTTGAATACTCCCAAACAAAGCTGCATTTTGTGTAATGTCAAAATATTTATATATAAAAAAGATCAAAGCGTGTTGTCGGGCCAAGCCATTGATGATGAACAATTAAGGTGGGTGGTCTGTGAACACTGAACAGACAAAACTGGACCCCCAATAAATCGTACCTTGTCAGGCACCCACAGCGAAAAGACGATAGAAAATGCCGAGTAATAGGAGTGTGTACAAATATACTATTCGAATTATTCGATCGTTTATTCAATGATTCGATTTTTAATTTGGTTATCTGATCCGATTTTTTTTTGGAAAAGTCAGATTAAATATCTGATAAAAAAATCCGAATAACCGGATCAGATACGGATAGAAAAATCTCATTTTTGGATTATCGAATATCTTTAAAAAAAATAGGCCTTTAGCCTGAGGCCCAGAGGATTTGGCAGAATTTCACCCAATGATTAAGCCCAAATGTGCAAGAAATTTGTTTTCCATTCAAACAAGAAAAATGTTCAGAAATTATACTGTTTGAGTGAAAACCCAAATAAATTCCATTTTGCATGAGGTGGAAAGATCTTCCAAATTTGTGGCATTTAAATTTAAAATATTAAAAATTAAATATATAAAGGGACAACATTCAATAAGTTTATTTTTTTCTTAGTCCAAATTAAATAAGATTAAGTAATTTAGTTTGATAAACAAATCTGAGAAATAGATGCAAAGAACTTGCACGACTTTATCTTTTACTAATTGTCTGCTTATTTTTTTTTCATTCCACTCAATATTACCTATGTACACCTAAGAGGAATCAGTACTTTTCATCACTTGATTTGCTAGCTTCAAGCTCTTGTTTTTCGCCTTCGACAAAAGCCCTTTATCGCCTCCATCTCTATCTTTAGTTTTTTCATCTTATTCTCTCGCTCTTGCTTGTTTGCCCATCAAAATCCAACAAAATTCTAGGCCATCAAACTATTACGAGCTACGCAGTAATGCATAAAATGGTCATTGAAGAATTACGAGCTATGCAGTAAAGAATCTCGCCCAAAATTCTATGAAAAATAAATGATTTGTTCGTATCGGATATTCAATTATTTCAGATAAGATCTCAATTACAATTTTAACTATTTTAAATTTTAGATATCTGAATTTTAGGATAGGATATTAAATACCCTACCGAGTAACATGTCCACGCTCTTTACCAGACAAAAACTATAGGTTCTGAATCTCTTTGATCTTTGATGAGCGTGGCCATTTTCTTCACATATTAGAAGCTTCCTATAACTGCCACGTAATCCCTACACACGTGTAGACACACTTTTTGTGACTGAAATGAACATATATTTATATATATATATATATATATATGTATAAATATTATTATAAACATGTTTTACATTTTGTATCAGGCCCAACAACGCCTAATGGTCCAAACCCACAACATGTTAGGGTTTTCAAAAATCCTAGCTCACTCCACTCTTGTCCCAGTCACCAACAATGGGAACCGTTGGATCAAGGTGTGATCCAACGGTCCACAACACGCAAAGGTTTCCAGAAACCATAGCTTTCCATTCGGTTCTCATCTGCGCCGCGTCACCAAGACCCCAGGGGTATCACGCCGCTACCAGCTCTCCTTTCACACATTCAACGCCGAGTTTCAAGGCACTTCATCCCTCATACAACAACCGCAGCAACTTGGATGTTTGGGACACCGAAAAAATAGCAAATAAGGTATTAGTTTAGTTCGAGTAGGACTCAGAAATCAAGCTAAAAATAGTTTATTTTTTAGTATAAATACATGTAATCAGTTCATTTGTACACTACAGTGGATACGAAATAAAAAAGCAAAAGTTACTTACAAATCGCAACCAAGAGCAGTATTTCATTTGAAAGCATTTATATCCGAAAGAAAGAAAGGTAATATTCATACATTTGCGTGTTGTCTTCGTCTGGTTTAGTGTCTTTGTTGTGTTTTGGTTCGAAAGGAACTCAAAGGGAGCGTTTTAGCCGATGAACGGAGGGGTTTGGTCATGATCTTCTTTTGTAGATCTAGCCCCTGAGGCTCATATTTTATAAAAAATGTTTTGATTTTTGAAAACTAGAGAAGAAAAGCTTTCGAAAAAGTAAAAAAACAACATTTTTTTTACCGCCGATGATCGGCAGCCGTCGCCGACCAACGGCGGCGGCGAGGCGGCACAAGGGTGGCCTACGACCACATTCAATTCAGAAGGCGTGGCGCCCACAATTGAAGAGTATATCACTCTGTTACGTTATAAAAGACTCAGAATGAATTGGATCTACATCAAGCATAATGAAAGTCTATCTTGGAAGAATTGACTGGCCGAGGTTGTAGGGGCAAGATGAAGGTTACTGATCTTGGGTGTCCCTTAAAAGACAACAATGGCAAAATGATAGTTGAAATTGGAGACTATTGCTGACACAAACAAGTGAACTCCACATGGTTCATATCAATTGATGGCTCCAATGATGTACTCGTTGGGAACAGGCTCAACAAAAGATAAATGCCAGAGATGCAGTCATTCGAGCTTCTTGGGCCTGTTTAAAAAGCAACTCAATGTTTGTACGGTTCATCCAGAGGAGCCGGAGCAGTTCGACAGGTTATTCAACTGGTAACAGACGAAGGCAGAAGACTAGTCAACTGTCAGAAGCTATCATGATATTTTTGTCTCTTAAAAGATAAAACACTTTTGTCCCCAATAAGGGTTATTTATAATAACAAGCACATTTTTTGGATCAATGCCTCGAGCATTTTATGCATCAAGCATTCTTGCATATTCTGCATTACATTTATTTTCTTTTCCATTTTATTTTATTTCATTCCATCGACGTTAACTAACAAGATACATCTCGATAAAAAGGAACAAATAAGCTCTGAAAGCAAATTGAAGATTACCTGAAGCGTGTCTAAAGATCCACAGCGATGAATGAGACATTAGCGCGAATTAGTAAGATCGAGAAAATTCAAGAGCAACTCCTGAAAACCCAACAAGAGATGATTGATCAAACAAGAAGATTTCAGGATGAATCCAGAGAACAGATGACTAAGTTAATGGATATGATAAATGTTGTGATCCATGGAGGGAAGCCACTAGTGGATTGTAACACCCCAACCTGTACCCGACCTGGATACGAGTCCGAGATGTCACATTGACATTTTCAAAACCTTTATTCTTGTAAAATAACTGAACGTTTGAATTTATATTAAGAAAATACAATCATATATTATTCAATTGTGTTTGGTATAAAATTTTGAGATAAAAACGTGTTTATGAACGGTGAATTACGATATGAACAATACTACAGTAACCTGCTACAGTGCTACAGTGATTTTCGTAAATTGTACATAACACTCGTAAAAATTTAACCGTTCATTTCTTTGCTTTTATACTTATATAAATATGTTTAAAATATTACAAAACTCGATCAGAGCATAAATACCTAATTTACCTACTTTATTTACATGCCAGCCTATTTATCACATAATAATACATACTGTGTAATTTACTTCTGATCTGATCTTTGAGCAGAGATATGTTGTTACTTTGAACTTAGCTTTGATCCTTCTGCTTCATAGACTTAGTGAAGCAAAAACATAATAATAATGCATTTCTCATAAATATAAACATTCAATCTATGAATTCAATCGTGTCGCATATAATTCAGTATACATGATAACATAAGATAATACAAGTACTTTTAATACCTTTTTATCTTATAAATATATATATCGAACATTTCTCTACATACCATGGAACACATATACTACTTCACAACAAAACATACATAGTAGCAAATCAATTTATTTATTTACTCTCTGTAAAGACCATGTATTAGCCCATGTATACTTTTGAGAACTTAAGGTATGTGAGTACATTGAGGTTGTGCACCACTATGCTGTCACAAAAGATCGTATAAATATCCCGAATGACCAGTCCATAGATTCCGAAAAACCTAGGTAATCAGTCCATATGTCCCGAAGAACATAGGTAAACAGTCCATATGTCCCGAAGAACATAGGTAAACAGTCCATATGTTCCGAAGAACATAGGTAAACAGTCCATATGTCCCGAAGAACATAGGTAAACCCTCGACCCTTGGCATGCCAACTATACCCCTAGCTCTCATATCACATAACATGGGCATTATCATTTATAACAGTTCACATTACTTATTCATATTCTTTCTCTTATAAACACATATCTTTTCTTTTCAGTCACGTATCACATGTACGTGTAATCATTTATCTCATAATCACATGTTCCTTCTCTTCTGTCACATACCACATGTATGTGTAAATATATATCTAATATCATATGTTACATTTTCATGTAAGCATGTAAATCATGTAACATCTAAACATACATCCATTTCTATGTACTAATGCACACATAGTAATCACATAACATTTTATAAGTTACTTCTTACCATAGTAACTCTATCATTGACTCATCGCAAGCCAATGTTTGATCAATCACATAAGTACAATTTAAATTGTACTCACCTTAGCCTTGCTTTGATTCGATTATAATCCTTTGATTATTCCGGAACTTGTTTAGGCTCAATATCTACATAAATATATCATTTCAAAACAATTATCAGAAGCCTAAACTTTAAACTTGATGTTAATAACTTAAACCAGTTTAATGAATCAAATTCTAT